AACTGCCATTAGACATTTTGGGTGTTATGGCAGAAAGATCTCAGTCCATGGAGGATTTTATTTTCTTTGGTGCTGTTTGTAAATCATGGCAATCAAGTACTTTAATACTAAAGAGAAAACCTCCATTGCCTATTACACATCCTTGGCTTATGCTTGCTGAAACCATGGATACCAACGATTACCCATTCGTTGCTTTCTAAGCTCAGAGCTGGACCTGAGGAGAGGCCCAGCTTTTTAGGGGCCCAATGTTTTGGCCTTTTCTTTTTTTAACCCACTATGAGTCTATAGGCTGAAGCCTTCAAAAGTTCTATGTTCTAACATCAAAACCTCCGAATCGCATCCTAAAGAAATCAAATCAACGACAAATTACAAAACCTAGACCAAAGAACGGCGGTGGAGCTGTGGAGGTCGGAGCTGATGAGTGATGTAGTGGCCGTCATCACCGATTCACCATCAACAATCCATCTCTCAATTTCTCCGCTCCATTTTCTATTTCCATACTGTTTTGCAGTTTTGGGTATGCCTAAATTTCATTTTTCTTTTTTCTTTCACTTTCCTGCACATATACTAGTATCTCATATTTTCCTTTTCCTAATTGAGTTTTTCGAAAATACTTTTTAAAATTTTTCATTGTTAATTAATCGTTGGTAGGGGTCTCGAGCAACGTTCTCTTTTCTTTGTGTTCTCCCATGTAAAACTATGTACACCTGTGGAATTGGAAAGCTATATATATCATTAATTACCACTTTCAAATGAATGCACAGAATTAGCAGATAATTAAATGATACAAAACCTGGCTCTTTGCACAGGAAACCGAGAAATGAATAATGATCAGAACTATTAAAAATGTACTTGAGGGCGCCTTCATAATTCTAGGACAAGTTTATTGTTTAGCAAAATTTGAGATACATGAATATCATCATTTGGGTTAATTTATAGTATTCTCCGTATTTTGAAGATAAAACTTAAAAGATCAAGCATCTGATGAGTTTACATTTTGAAGAAAAATGTTTCAAAGCCTTGTAGTGCAGCCATTTACGCGTTAAAGGTTATTGGTGTTGATGAGTTTTATACTATCATCTGATTTTTTAAGGTGTTCCCTACATCTGATTTTGCTTTGGAATTCATTTTAGACATTTGATGCCCTGTTCCAGACATCTAAAAATGGTTGTCTCTGTCTTGTCTTCAATTCCTCCTTGCTAGCAAACAAATCCAAATAACTAAAGTTAATTGTTTGCTATCGAATGACTTGAATCAAATTTATGTTAATGTGCAGCATGCTTAGGCAAGGCTAAGTCAATGTATGGTCTAGAGGTTACTCTTTCCTGTCCCTCTTCTAAACTCAAGTTAATGTTTACGTTTTATTAAATCTAATTTATTATCATTTCGTGAAACTACAGGAGAGTTGATTGATGTTGTAATTCTTGTTCTAATTTTACAGTCAAATTTCTGTAATTGTTTGCTGTGACTTAGGAGCCCAAAATCTAAAGTTCGCCTCATGACCCGCGAAACACTGGTCCGGTCTTGTCTAAGTTTATTAACTTCGGTAACATAAAAGCAGATCCAGACTCACTGACTCAGAGGGATAGAAGAGGAAGCCTAGTCGGTGTTATCATTCTTCCCGCTAGGCCCAGATCTCTCACAAAAATTGCTTTTTTCGTTCATTACTTGTCTCGTAATTCACTCAATTCCCCCATATAATCCAATAGTCGTAGTCATATATACATATACATATGTTCATAATTCTAAATCACACACCGCAATGGATTAGATGGCCTTTAAAGCCTGTGAAAAGGATGAGGTCCAAGAAAAATCAATTTCAAACGAGAATGAGTAAATTTAATGAATCATCACTTAACTTTAAAATGGTTACTACTTAATCAATATACTTTAAAGAGTTATTCAATATTCATCATCTTTTCAAATGGTTACACATTCACCGCTCTTTTAACACCCGTCTCTCCACATAGACGGAAAACTACACGTAGATAACAGAAAATCTACGTGGCGTATTGATGACATTAATTATGTTCAAGTCACCAAAAAGAACCAAACAAACACGCCTTTATATTATTAACCCAAATCAAAATCCCTAAACTAGAACCTCCAAATCAAAATCAACCCAAATCAAAATCCCTAAACTAGAACCCCCAAATCGAAATCCTCTAAAAAAATTGAAGAGAAAAAAATTGTAAAAATAAAATAAAAAAACTGAAAAAAAACAAGTGCGGAGAGTGCTCCGCATCATGCGGAGCATCAGCTCCGCAACAGTTGAGGAGCACACTCCGTTTTTTTTTTCCTCTTCAGTTTTTTTATTCTTTTTTTTTTTTTACAATTTTTTGTTTCATTTCATACATACATAAAATTAGAATTT